TAAGAAGGTATCATTACCACCACCAGATCGAAGGTTATGTTTTCACCTCGGCTTATTTGTGTGCTTGTGAGTCAGAAGGATATCTCAAATTTGTGGAGCGAATGGCCGTAGGCCAAAGAAAAGTCGATTGAATTTGAATGAAAATTGGGATACAAGTTTGTCTTGCTTTCCCGGGCTGAAAATAATTGAATGCGTAATTAGTGCATGTATAATTTATGCATGAACACTTGACTCAATTTCTAAAGCCTGGCGCACACGATGCGATTTTAGTCGGCCGATAAAAATCGTTTGACTAAAACTAACAAAATCGTTGTGTGTGCGGTGTCATTTTTAACCGATTTTTGTTGCTCGATTTTAATCGGACAACATCAAAACGTTTTGATATTATACGATTTTTATCGGTGGAATTTTAAGTATAGCCAATCAGATTTCATGCTGTGATCACGTGCTTGTATTTATTTGGCAACATGGCGGCTACAGTTCAGGGAGCGTATTTTTTTCGTAATCGTGTGCGGAGTATACCGATGTATATCGGTATGTCAAACGATTTTTATCGGCCGACTAAAATCGCATCGTGTGCGCCAGGCTTAAGCGGAAGTATGTAGTCTCTGAGTGTCTAAGTGACTTTCAGTTGATTATTAATTAGAAATTGGTAGTTAGAAATGACAAATTAAGAGTACTGTAAGTTATTATTAATAAGTGAAATAACCAGTATTTGCTGTACTACCTACATGTAGATTGGAAGGATGGGTGTGGTTGTTGAAAATAAGTCCAGTTATTGCCATCAGTTAATGACATGTGCTGCAGACGGGTAAGTTAAGTACTTTATTTTAAATTACTAGATTGAATCAGTTAATGTTTCCGCGTTCACAATTTGCATTTCTCAATTATATAATGTGTATACAGCTATTTCAATTAAGGTTGTTCACGAGCAAAGCGGAAAAGTCGAATACGAGCGCAAAAAGCTGCTGGGATTCACTAATATTTGAATGAATTTATTAACGATTCCCAGTAGCCTTTCGCGCTCGTATTCGACTTTTCCGCTTTGCTCGCGGGACAACCTTAATGGACCATTCCCCCAATTAACCAAAATTTTGATATCAACAAGTCTAGACAAAATTCCATCATAGCATGAAAGAGCATCACAAAATTAGTAATATTCCAATGTTTCGTTGCGAAATGTTGTAAAATGCGGATAATATAGCCTTGCGAAATTTGCATTATTCAGTCATTTTAGATTACAAACGGGAAATGGTTACCACTTTTCCAAAATTTTGATCTTAATTAGCCTAAACAAAAATTTCATCACAGCTTGAAAGAGCATCACAAAATTAGTAATATTCCAAAGTTTCGTTGCAAAATGTTGTAAAATGCGGATAATATAGACTTGCGAAGTTTGTAATTTTCAGTCATTTTGTATTACGCACAGAAGAGGTAACCATTTCCCGTTTGTAATCTAAAGTGACTGAAAATTGCAAACCTCGCAAGGCTATATTATCCGCATTTTACAACATTTTGCAACGAAACTTTGGAATATTACTAATTTTGTGATGCTCTTTCATGCTATGATGGAATTTTTGTCTAGACTTGTTGAGTTCAAAATTACATGTGCTTCCGATGTTATGTCAGAAAACGGGACAGCAACCACGTGCTCGTGCATTTACGGATTTACCGATGTTTATTTGTTGATTTATTCTAATCATGCAGCCTTTCCAGGCCCTGCAGATGTATTTAATGCATGCTAACACAACTGTGATGCTATTTAGTTCCTTGTTGCAGTTGTTGGAAATGCAGAAATGGGGTGACATTCCATATAAATATCTCCAAAAGAACTGGATTATGAGTTGCATTAGTGTTAGTAATTTTTGAATGGGAATATGATTATAACGATTAGGAATATTTTTTTAGCGTAAGAAATTGTCTACTGTGTATTGCAAAGTACTTCGTGTAAGGACCACAAAACCGTTTGAACAATTATACCAGCAGGTTTAAGTTTATTCTAGGTAGTCTTTACCCTAACACAAACCATAACCCTAGTTTTAACAACATCTTACTATGTTAACGTACTTTAACTTAACTCAGTACTATTGTGTGTTCCTAACATGAAATGGTAATGTTTGTATTGCATCCCATGGTTCATTGCATTGTATCTGATATTAAATGATTATTTTCTCACTTGATTTATAAATAGAAGTTTATTATTCTGGGATACCAGACCAACTAAATCAGCTCATCAAAGTCAACTGACGTCTGTCAACAAACCTGTTGTTCTCACGGTCTCCAATCCACTGAAACAACTGGATTTAACGTGGAAACCTATTCTCAAGGTATGTTAAATTATTGCACGAAGGACTGCAACCTCCTACTCATTCAGGGTCCCAGGGACTTCGTGTACCACCGTAGCGGGCACTTGGGGGGGGGGGGCTTCCAGACCATCATATCTTGACTGACTATGTAGTGAGTTTACACTGATAGCTATTAATTTGATTTTCGATCATATCATATTTAGGATACAATGTTAATGCAATAAATAGTGGGATTCCTTAAATCATTTTGACTTTGTAGTTAGTGTTTCATCCTAATTTAAGAATATCAGGCTTTCATGGTTGATAAAGCTTTGTTGTGTTCAGAGTAATTAAATTTTGCTTCGTTCTTTATAAAATCGCCGTCCAATTTTAATTAGAGGAGGTTGTCTGAACAGCTGCGCACTCTTGCATTTTACCTCTGAGATCGTGGGTTCGATTCTCGCTACGGACTTATGGGAAAAGAGTCAGTTGTGGGTTTTCTCCGGGCGCTTCGGTTTCCTCCCACAGGGAAAGTTGGCAGGGTGGGTTAGGATAAACACAGTTAAGAAAGTAATATCACAATCGTTGTAAGGATAAATAGTCTAGGCTAAGTAAGTAACATAAGTAAGCGTAATACTTGATGTAATCGCGGTCGCTGGAAAGCCCCAATGGGGAGTGAGCTGAATAATAATGTTATGTAATGTAACGTAATCTGAAGTTGTTTCATTTCCAGGTTTCTGTTAGTCATATAACTGGTTCTGGGGAGTTTGGGCCTACAAAATTTAGCCTGGCGGAGAGACATGGAGACCGATCATCAAGTAGGTTTAGTGATGTACCTTATGGCTGCTTCCCATGCAGTGACTCGCGTACAATTATGAATTTTAAACATCTATACAGGGTGTATAAAAAAAACTACACAGTTGGAAAAAGTTCACTAAAGTCAGATGCGCGCGACATTTGCGAAAACTTTCAGTAAGCCGATGTACTTTAACGTTCTCTGGTACATCTGGCACTAAAATTATTTAAAATGCTAGCGTTTTTAGAGTAGGAAAGCTGTTACTAAAATTCAATCTGTCTTGCACAAGCTATTAAAGTTTCAAGAAATTTGGTGCACGCGTAGGCCAACGCGAGATCTTCAAAACCTGGATTTTCTCCCATTTTCTTAGTTCAAACGCGATTTCTTTGCATGATTTCAAATTAAATTTATGCATGCTCGGACGTTTGCATAAATTACAGTACGAAATTCGCAAGCCAATTCCTAAAGGTCCTAAAAGAGTTAGTATAACAGCGTTTATTTACAAAATAATTGACATGCGGTGTTTATTTACAAACAAAATCAGTCTTCAACGTGCCCTCCTATGTTGAAGATTGATTTTGTTTGTGCATAAAATTAATTTAAAATCATGCAAAGAAATCGCGTTTGAACTAACAACAATCCAGGTTTTGAAAATCTCGCGTTGGTGGCCTACGCGTGCACCAAACTTCTTGAAACTTTGATAGCTTGTGCATGCACGACAGTCCATATTTTGACTCTGTGTGATTAAATTGTGTTATGATGGAAAATGTTTTTGCGCAAGGCCTTTTTTTTTTGGGGGGGGGAGGGTTAGTAACAGCTTTTCTACTCTAAAAACGCTAGCATTTTAATCCCTTAATGTAATGTCTTATCCTTGCCAGTTGCCACACATGTCTTGAAGTGTATAGTGATAACGCTGCTCTTAAAAATAATTTCATCGGAGACCTGCGAAGATGTGTAGACTCATGCAGTAGGTGTACATAAGTATAAATATCAGGATTGTGTGCATCTACACTCGATATAACTAATTTTAGAAGGATTTTGCAAATTTCGGATGTGAATTTTATACATTATTAGACCTAACTATAGGCCCTCTGGCAGGAATTGAACCTGCGATTTCCTTTTTCTTAGAATTTACTCGAAATTCCTATGTAGAAACCCTTCTAAAATAATTATGAATAGCACAGTCAGGTGTACATAATGCACGAAACGCACGGCCACAGGATAAATCCCTGCTGTTGGACTTAAATGTTTCGTTTAGTAATGTAACGTATGGTTTAAGTAACCGTCAGGCTGCCTCCTCCGCAGGCTCCTCTATATAGATCAAATTTAAATATGGGTAATATATAGATCAGCATCCGTGAAATACCCCTATCTTGTATGGGTGGCTGAAATGCTCAGCTGAAACTAATTTATACAGTTTGTAGTAAAACCGTACAATTTTAAAGATTGGTGTTAAAAGAGTTTTAATTTTGTATGTAGTCAAACAACCGGACAATGACAAGGAAGCTGGAAATTTGAACAGAACAGTTTCTATGACTGGAAAAAAAGATCAGGGAAAAGTATTGGAAAACATTGCAACAATGTTGTTTGTTGGTACAGAAGTAAGTTCATCAACATATAGTCTCTTTGTTGATAAAATCTTCAACGTTGGATGCCAGTATAGGTATAGCGAAGATTACAAAAGGCGAACTTTGTGTAGAACTTGTCTACCTTTCGAGCGAAGGCACTTTGTCTGGAAGACCTTTCGTTTTCGTGCACAAGTTCGCAATTTGTAAAGCTCTTTATTCCCTATTCATTCACTTATACTTTCCAATTCAAGTTTGTCTGTGCTCAAGACATGGTTGCAAGGCAGCCACAGGCACTGTCCTCTGAAGGTCAAAACTCACAACTGCTAAACCTCGACCACACAATGGACTTTATATCCGTATCTGATCGTGGTATTTTGCAAAGCACGACTTCCATGCTCCCATCCTTTACTCGAATACATAAACAAGTATATATAATGCTTTTTGTACTTAAAAGGTCGAAATTAGTAATTAAGATGGTAGTGCTATACAGCTATAGAGAATAAACCTTTGCTGTCAAAGCGATAAATTATACATTATGAGTACATATATAGATCAGTGGACTGCAAGGAGTTTGATTGATCATTTCCATCATACATGATTACGTTTTTAATCTTCATTCAGGGACTGGGAACGAGTCAGTTTCTTTTTGAGTAAAGGTTTAGATTTGTGTTGGGAATTCAATGCTAAGAATTTGAATATTCTTACTGGTAATAATTATATACAGCAAAAAGATATATACATGAGCAGGCTTCTAGTCGTTGTTTTTCTCACGATTACTCGACTCCCCTTCACAGTGTAATGTCTGATTTTTCTGTCTAGAGTGGCGATGTTGTTTACATGGATTGGAAGTTGTCTAAGGACTCTGATAGTGGAAAATTTACAGGTGCGGGACCTTCCGTATAAATATCCTGAAATATACACAGTTTTGTTTAACAAAAGCATTACTATTTGTAGTAAGGTTAGGATTGGTGTTAGTGTTCGGAGAAAGGCCTAACAAAGAAATGTCCTGTGGTTCCGGTTTCCCGACAGATCCTCTTTTTTCTGCCGACCCTATAAAATGCTGTGTTTAAATTATTATGTTGTTGATATGCATGGACATTGAGCCATACAACATAAGATGTCTCCTGCGCATGAACTATATGTGACCCCGCATGTGTGAATATTTGATTGATGCCGACAAATCTTTGAACATTTTTGAAAATCAAGCACTTGATATTAATCGTTTGCATACAAAGATCACACGATCGACCTGCTTTGCAAGGAAGCTTTTCACAGGAAGTTGATATTTTCGTGGTAATTAAAGGCCATGTTACAATTTTTGGTGCAACTTGCTGTTGCAACGCAATTTTATTTTCACCAGGTTATCTAAAAATTAGTCTCATCATATTTCTTTCATTATTCACATGGGAGGAGGGGGACGCATTTCGTAGGGATCTCCTTTCTCCCGGGAGATCTCCTGGATATTCGATTAATTTGGTCGGACACTATTCATTTGATCAAGTTTCATTCTTGGTCGTCTAAATATTTGATATTTGATAGTAGATACTTTTACTCTTTCACATATTTCATGCCTGCATGTCACCATATATTTTGTCCCTCCAAACGATCCCAGAATGCACTGTGATCTCTTTTGGGAAAAGGCTAATTTGAGCGACCTCAAACTGATCCGAAGCTGGTTCCTTGGTCTTGTGGAGTGTACACACTTGCCCATGAACCAAATTAACTACCATTCATAAAGCCCATTTTCCACTATAGGCGAATTTATTCGCGAGAACAGTAAAAAAGTAGGAACTGATCCAACTTTTTCGCGGCGAATTTTTTCGCTGACCAATCACATTACCATCATGATTTGTTTTTCGCTTCGCCTCTCGCGAACAAATTCACTTAGTGGAAATGGACTTAATTAAGCGGGGTTAATGCCAGGCTGCTGAGCAAGATATTATTTAGAGAGTTTAAGCTTCGCGTTATACGGCAAACGCCAAGCAAAGAAAATTTTTACGGTATCAGGCAATAAAGAGTAAATGAACTTGCTGTTTTATTAAAACTAAAATACATAATTATTCTTTCGACGCAAGAAAGAAAATATGAAACGAAAACGTTCAACGAAAAGTTTGCCAAGAAAGTTCGAACCTGCCGTTTGCCGTTCCCGGAAACGTGAAGCTTAAACTCCCTATTAGCTCGGTTGTAAAACGTGAAGCGATCCGAGACCACCTCGGAGGGTGTCTATAGTTTAGATCGATCATTAACAATCGGTCTCAGCTTGTGTTAGGTTGTTCTCACTTGCATGGCCTGGTACGGTTCTGAATCGATTTCCAATCGATCTAAATCGCTAGTGTGAACGACCCCTATACTTGCAGCTGGTGCATGAATCCGGTATGTGTAGCTTGATTTTTTAACCTTCTGCCATGAGAATCATGGAGTTATCTTTATCCTTGGTGCATTCATTTATTATACACAGGCAAGTTTTATTTGACAATCATAACCTCAGCCTGTAATCAGCGTTCAATATATATTGTCAATATAACAGTTCATTTTCCCAGTAAAACTTGTCAACTTCGTATATACTTTGAGCTTTATTCTCCTTTTTACATTAAACATTTAATTTAAATGTGTGCTGCCATATTTCTTGTCCCTCTAACATGCAGGGATTCTCGCGACTAGACCCAGGACTTTGGGAAATGGCTAATTTAGATGGATCTCAAAGTGTGTTAGCTGTGAACAGCACCATACAAAGGCATACATGGTGTGTGAGAAAAGTAGGTCGAGCACTAGTTAAAACCTCACATGTTTTCTCTTCTTATTTTCAAACTGTAGTGAGTAAACCTGAACTAGTATTAGCTGCACATGAAGGACTGGTGTGTGTTCTACAACGATCACCTTTCTTTAAAGATATTCTTTTATCTATTGGTGGATGGACGTTTGCAATTTGGAAAGAGGGTGTTTCGGTAAATTAGTTTAATGAATATTGTGGTTTAAACAGAATAGCTTAAGTATGCATCTGCGGCGGTTATCAGTATCTTCGCCAGGAGATGTCTTTCACCTCCATGTGTGTGTGTATATGTGTGCGTCTGTTGTTTGTTTTTGTATTCGTCTCTAAGCAGGATAACTATAAAAGTATTGAACGGTCTAATACAAAGTTTAATTTGTGGAACTAAAGGCGGAATGTAGACCACGGACAAACAGAATTTGGTTAAATTTTGATGAATTTTGATGAGATGTTATTTTTCACTGCTCTGGCCTGTGTAAAAGAATTAACTGAATGCATTTACTAGTTGTGTAACGTACAGTATGTATGAATACATGATTTCACGAAGGTATGAGCAAGATCTGAGGAAGATATGCAGTTTAAAGGAATAAAGTTTTTATAATTTAAGAACCCAAATTTTTAGTTTGACTCTAATTATAATGATGTCCAAATCACTTGACTTTTTTCCCTTAGACTGGACCTCTTTTGGAGTCTGCATCATTCCCAGTGAGATTGACCGCGGGGGCGTGGAGCCCAACTAGGCCAGGTAAGTCAGACTGTAGATTACATGCGAAGCAATGACTCCACCCAGTAGATTACGCATGTTGTATTTTAGGACGTGCATCCATTCCATCGAAACCGCATTTCCTCCCTGGCATATACATTACTCCCAAAAATCTAGAGAAAGAGCTATTGGATTTCGACTTTGCCTGTGCCTGGAGTCTCACTACTTCGCAAACCTGAAAGTTACAAGCTTACACCTGTAAAAGGTCCAGGATTGACTCATCTGGTCTAGATCTTTGTTTACAAGTGCAATTTTTGCTGCGATTTCTAGTGCGATTTTCTTCTTCTGATGCATGTGAAAGAGTAGATGAGTTATGAATGTTCTGAGAATATGTACCTTCATCTGAACATTCAGAATTCATCCACTCGTTCACATCCATCAGAAGAAGAAAATCGCACTAGAAATCGCAGCAAAAATTGCAAGTGTAAACGGGCCCTTTCATAAACTGTTTACATCTACGTTCAAAAATTGGAAAATCGCCCAGTCCGATGCCAATCAAGTCCAGTGTGTGTTAGACTTGCTCCAAGTCTCTCTTTCATTGTCATATAGTATCGATCCACTATAGTGTACATTACATGACGTAGCGTGGAGAAGCGGAGCGAGAAAGAGAGACTTGTCAACTTCGGAAAATCTCGATTCAAAACTGAACCGAAAATGCAAGACTTGCTTTAATGGACCTTTAACCTTATAACTAAAATTTTGATCTAGACAAAAATTTCATCACAGCTTGAAAGAGCATCACAAGATTAGTAATATTCCAAAGTTTCGTTGCGAAATGTTGTAAAATGCGGATAATATAGCCCTGCGAAGTTTGCAATTCTCAGTCATTTTAGGTTACAAACGGGAAATTGATACCCCAACACCCAATTTGGGTATCAATTTCCCGTTTGTAATCTAAAATGACTGAAAATTGCAAATTTCGCAGGGCTATATTATCCGCATTTTACAACATTTCGTAACGAAACTTTGGAATATTACTAATTTTGTGATGCTCTTTCAAGCTGTGATGAAATTTTTGTCTAGATCAAAATTTTAGTTATAAGGTTAAAGGTCCATTGTTTTCCTTCAATTTCTTTCTGTATATTTACTATAATGGAACTCATTGTGCTAGATCAATACATATAAACACTGACAGAAAACAATTAAAGCAAGTCTTGCATTTTCGGTTCAGTTTTGAACCGAGATTTTCCGAAGTTGACAAGTCTCTCTTTCTCGCTCCGCCTCTCCGTGCTACGTCATGTAATGTACACTATAGTGGATCGATACTATATGACAATGAAAGAGAGACTTGGAGCAAGTCTAAGTGTGTGTGGGCCTTATACTCAAACCAGTCAGGGCCATGCCGGATTATACGAGCTGCCTGAAACATCAAACACAAGGAAAATTAGTGTAGCAACCATTTAGAACTGGCGACACGGTTGGAAATCTTGATGTTCCAGTGGGTTCATCTGGCTGACCATGCATGGTACAAAAATTAGTCCCATTATAGAACTTGAACGCATGTTCAGTTATAGTCTACAGATTGATTAGAATTTTTATTTCTTAGTTCAATACCAAAAATCCATATTTTGTAGGCGTATTTTTCGTGACCAGAGCAGATGGCAATGTTGATGTTTGGGATTTACTTGATAAGTATGATTCATCTATGATTCGATTTACAATGAAACAGACCGAGTCATTTTGTTAAGCATATGATTAAATGATGAGTGAAACATGCATGTAAAATGTAGTTATATATATTCCATAATAAATTGCATCATTCTTCTTGTGATTGTCTATTCAATTTTTCCCAGATCTCATGAACCATCGTTAACACAAAATGTGACGTCTGCTTTAATCACAAGTGTAAATCCCTATCAAGTTTCAAGTGAGTATAACTCTTAACTTTCGTGAAACTAACTCTTATTTTTTCTCAAAAAATATAGATATAACTAGTGTGTTATATCGTATTTACATTTTGGGTTTAAATATTTTGAGCCAATTTCCGGAGGACGACGATTTAAATGCACTGAATCTCGTGTCTTATATATTTGCAAATGGTTATTTTCTAATTGTGTATTTTGTGGCAAACTTCTTAATTAAAAAAAAACAAACACGGTAAAGAACAGGGCATATCGAAACCTGGAGGTTGAAGCTGAAAATTATTATTATAAAGTATTTACCCAGGGAACCTACATCGCAAAAGCCATTTTCAGTAGAGGGCCTCGTGCAAAGCACAAGTCCAAAAAACCAAAAGCATCCAAAAATCCTCTATTTTAGAGAATATGTATTGGAAACTAGCTGACGTGACCTAATGTTTTCAATGGGCTGATGGCGTGGTTGGATGTCCCAACCTAGTTGCAAACCAAATTCTCAAAAACGGCATGTTTAGCAATAATACAGCTAAACATTTTAGTCAAAGAGCAAATAAATATAACCACGCCATTCTACGATGAAAACTCTAAGTATTCCCAGTCAATTTTAGCAAATATTTCAAGCACTAAACAGTGAAAAATACATCGCACCAATTTCGTTAAAATTTGTGACGCCAATTTCGTAGCTACAAATGTAAAAAAAAATACAAAACAAAGACGAAAAACATTTACCTTGAATACTTTGTCGTAGCTTAGGCATGTTTTTAAAACAATTAGACCAGTTTATGCTTCAATATCACCCTTTTAAAGTGGAAAATATAGCAAAACAACAAAAATGCCGAGAACTTTGGTAATATTCGCAATACGCGTGACGTCACGTTTTTCAACAAGGATGAGTCAATGACGTCAGGAAGTTTCCTATCCAGTTATTTTACAATCCATGGTGAGAATAAGACTTGATGAATGTAACTTGGAAAAGAACGGCGGAGATAAAAGACTGCAGGGTACTAAATTGAACGGCATGCAAAGGCATGCATCTTTCATTCCTTATTAACTGAAAGTTATACTTTGTAATTTTTAATGTTCCCTTTCAATCATGGGCTACGAATCGAATGAAAAGGCGGGTGGAGGTTGAACACAGTGGGTGGGGTAACGTGGGGGTAGAGCGAGCAACTCGAAGGCGGTCACCTGAAATTTAAGGTGGTCGGGGAATTCTAAGATCATTGGGTCATCCACGTCTGAACTCAAAGGCGAACTTTTAATGGCAACACAAAATGCATCGTTGCCAAACCGACCCCAATATAATATTTGTCATTAAAAATCGTTGTTAATTAATACATGTTCTAGATAAACTAACATTGTTTCAAGACGTTCGTGTATATAAGTATCATGCAAAATCATTGATAGAAGATCTTTAATTGTTTGCTCTTAGGTAAGCAACAATTACTGTCAATTGGTGATAATGTGGGAACTCTTCATATTATGGAGGTGCCATGGAATTTACGTCGTCCTTCTGTTAATGAGGTACATGTTTTTAAATTTTATACCGTAGTTGTTAGAGTTTTATGACACTTATGTGACAAAAGTCAGTCAACACTCTACCAAAAGTTGTGTGTTTTCTCCAGGTGCTCCGGTTCCTTCCCCATGCAGGGCTTTGTGACAGGATGAGTTTGGATAAGCCCTAAGCTGACCCTGCCACCGATAATCGGTCAGCTACGATCAAAATCTTGAATTATCGCAGCTCCAGAGCTGCGTCCTTCGTAATTCAGTTTAGCTCTGAGCTGCAAATAAGGATGATTAGCACACCGCCACTTATACACCTCCACTCACTTTAAAGTTATTGGAGACTTTGAGTCATGTGCAAATGATCGATACAGAAGCTCATGCCAGATTTATTCCCTTTTTTTGTTTGAGTCAAAAATAAAAACACATGAAACATGAATAGCTGTAGCAAACATATACTGAAGAAATAATTATTTTCTTTTTGATGTAGAAAAACATCATTGAAAACTTTTTCGAGCGCGAAGTATCTCGACTGAAGTTTGTTGAAGAACGAAGGAAGATCAGAGCAAAGGAAACTGTTAACAATAAGGAAAACGAGAAACCGAAGGAAAAAGCACAGGTGGGGTAATTAACAATATCTGTGATTGTTTCCTTTGCAGGTTTGCATGATAATTGTTTTATTTCTGTGACACCACGATTCGTTGATCCGTAAGCCCAGATCCCCATCAATAAATAATATAAAAAATAGATTTGAATTTTATTGTCTTATATTTAAATTGAAGTACATAAGAATTGGGGCTATATTAACGTACATTGAACACATTTAGATGGTACTACAGTGTGGAATAGCATGGCCTAATGGCCACAGGCTTATGCTATTGTTGAATGGTTAACAAAAATATCAAATGTCGATCACTTCTATTTCATTAGCTGTTTTATAAATGATAGATTCATGGTCGATCCTAAGGGAAGAAGTAGTGAATCTCGAGATGAATATTCCCTGATAATCACCGAGCCTTTTATACAAGTCTTTTGTGTTTTTTCAGGGACTGAATTTATTTTAATTTCGCTTATTTCTGTATCTACAGTAACTTCCACAAAACGGCTAGCCGGCATTTTGCAAATTTCGGTTTTGTTATATTCACTTGTAGGTGAATATAACAGCTTAATACTGTACGTCACATTTGACCAATCAACTTGTAGGATTTGTTATATTCCCATGTGCAAAAATACTAAAGGCATATATTATTTGCACCAATGAGGATGTGGAATAACCACCTCACTGTCAGTGTTATATAATCCATATTTAAACTTTATTTTCAGGTGGATACGAAGAAACTTATAGATGAACAGGAGTCTGAGTGGGAGGCTAAAGCACGACAGGTACGGTGACTATTGTGTTGTGTTGTTGTTGTATTGTTGTTTGTCGTTTTATGTTGTGTCGTGTTGTATCATATAGCATTGTTTTCAAACATTCATCGGAACAGGTCACAGATGTGGAGTTGGCATTCACTGAAAATGCCTTTTTTTCAGGAATATCAAAACTATTTGGAAATGGAGAAACGTTTTCTGGAGGAACTTGGCATCAGGGAACCTGACAATGATCTTTGAAAGTCCTAGTTCTGAACAACGTAGTTATGTAAATTTTTAGTGGGGCTATGTCAAAAGTTCTTGTAAAATATAGGCGATAGATCGAAGTAATCGACTTACGCATGTTTACAGTGCCCGTTGCTCTAAGACTACGATTAATATTTTTGAAGTTTCGGATAACTAGTCACTGTTATTATGTAATCGTAGCATGGAATAAAGTTTATCTGAGTGAATTGGCATATTGCATGCAGTTATGGTTAGTGCAAACGGTGAACTAAGAAGTTCCTTAGCGGGAAAAGCTATAGGCTAACACTTACGATGTTGGTACTCTAACGTTTTGACATAGCTCCACTACAGTAACTTATATTTATTTGTATACCTCTATTGTACATTGTGCTACGTGAACATTTCATCCACCAATGGTTTTTGGGGTTGCATATTGCGGAATACGTAGCCTTGGGGCTCTGGCAAAATCCAAACTGGATACCATAAAAACATGGTATCCGGTTAAACACTGCGCATGCTCAATTTGTAATTGAGGGCTCTAGGTACGAGAATGTGCCTGGGAGAGAAGCATGGAAGAGAGATCTCATCGATCCCAGTCCCCCGTCTCGTTCCCATCCTGCTACATACCGTATTCTTCTATAAAACCCCAAAGAGCCTCTCGAAAGGATGTTTTTATGTTGGCCGTATTCATAAGTGTACTGATTTAGTTAACATCTGTTTGTAAGTATTCTGTGGTAGTACAGAAGTATTTGTTATTGCTTGAAATTGTATATTGCGATGGTTTTCACCATCGGAATATCAAATGTTTCCATAAAATACTATATGGGTTTGAAGTTTTTACAGTAATAGACCGTTATCAACTTTCACTCTAGTTGAGAACAACGCCAGGTCGAGGCTTCGTTTATAATGGTAAAAGAGCGTACATGAAACAGCTTTTATAAAAGAAATATATAATATTCTGTCTTTCGCGCCGACAGGCAAAGAAAAATTGAATGTAGCTAGTTCAATTTTGATAACGGGTTTATCACGCTAGAAACCTAGAGCGCATGTTTATTTTCAAACTGGTTCTCTCTCGCGGGCAAAGCAATGGTATTGGGAAAATTAAAGACTACATGCACCACTGTAACCGAAGTTGTCAACCTTTACCATCGCACTCCTTCGCCAGTTTCTTGAACTCCTGAGCTTTCTTCAAATCAACTTCTACTCCATCTCCTTGTGAATATATTCTGCTTGCATTGATACAACCCCATGAATGTCCTAATTTGCAACTTTTTACTGAATATTCTAACGCTTTAACCATGTCCTTATCTATACCTTGACAGCCAGTTAAATAGACAACACTAAGATTAAAACATCCATTACGAAAGTTACCATCGCATGCTTTGGTAAACGACTGCATAGCTTTATCCATATTTCTTGGTACATGAAAATGTTTTTCTCCTTTTTGATAAAGTAGTCCAGCATTATTACAGGCACCCCAAACATTGTTCTCGCAAGCTCTGTTGAACAACCGTAAAGCTTCGTCGGGTTGTCTGTCTTCTGTTAATAGTTGTTATAAAATGAAATAATGGATGTGGTAAAACACTTGTTATAAGTTACGTTATAACTAATTGGGCACAAATCTTAATTTGGTATGAATTTATTCCAGCGTTTTTGTAAGCTGGGGCTAGTTGTTCAAAGCTGGACTAGCGCTATACAGAACCAAAATTCTTAGAAGCATGTTCTAAATCCTGTATTCCTGTTCAAAATTCTTAGACTAGACTTATTCTTGGACAATCTTATAGTCTTTCTGTTAATCTGTTTCTCTTTTATGTTGTCACAGTTAATTATTGTGCCATGCCATGCAGTTAAAGTAGAGCAATGCGTTTCTTCAAAAATGTTCCGAATGCAGAATTAAATTTTGTTAACTTAGGCCGCGTTTACACTATGACGCTACAGCAAATTTACCGTAGCGTAGTGATTTGCATCCGGAGTGCCAAACGTAGTGGTCCGTAGTTAAGTGGCAGTCCCGCTAAGAGCGGTCCGATGACTTTGACTTCGGAAAATAGATTTCCTTTATTTTTTGTGTGTTGAAAGGCATTGGTATACAAGTGTCCAAAATAAATTTATTTTTTGAAAATTCTTTTTTATGGCTTCGCTAGACGCCGAAACTCATTTTACCCGTGCAGAGCTATTTTCAAGCAAAATCGAAGGTTGAATTTCGGTAAATTGTAGAGCCGCGCTGAGTCAAAACGCCTGACTATTTCCAAATTTCAACTAGATCAGCAAGTTAAGATACAATTCAGGTTCCCTGTTCCAAAAAATAAGAGCATTTGAATAAATCGTCAATAAACGACAGCAACTTGACGGAGCACCGCTTTTTGCTTCTTGTTCGGTCTACAAAATTACACTAAAATCGAAGCCTGACATCTCCAAATGGGGACCTAAAATTACGCTGAAATGTGCTTGGCTGTAATGATTTATACTTATTTTCAGAAGATCTGAAGAAAAACCTGCGGGTATCAATCTGTATTTGGCGCGAGTTAAGATTTTCTGGAGCTCATAATCAATGATTTTTGCATAATTTATAGCTAATTAACATATTTCTTGAGAGGCGCTAAAAGTAAACAATTTCTTTCTGACTAACATATCTCAGATGAAAGAAACTACCACAGCTAGTAAAACCCTTTTTGTAAATATAGTCGTAATATTCTTTTCCTGACACGCGCTGAGAGAGCTTTGTTTTTGAATGTTATGCCACATTCATTCAGTCTGACCAGATTCATAAATGTCACGAACTTGTATATTTCAAAAATATACCAGAATTCAGAAAGACCGATTATTCTTTCCTTGATTCAGTTGATTGATTTAGTTGATTGATTTAAAAAACTATAAGTATAATAGAACATTCCACGTGTTTTCCTTCCTCCTAGGCCTAGAATTTTTATCAATATGTTCTATTTTTCTGTGGCGACGGCATAACAAAGTACGACTGCTACACAAAAATGTACATTCGAATTTATGATCGACATATCAGAATGTTATTTATGAAGTTTGAATTGAATTTACTTAACGCGAAATAAATACTAAAATAGGAATTTTCTATGCTGGGTTAGTAAAAGAAAAAGCATAATTTTAATTGTATGTAATTTCGATGAATACTATAAAAAAATTATACGCATTGTTTATATAAATTAGCTAACATTTTCACATTTATTACGATAGTAGCGACGTTTGTTTTAGCCACGTAACAAAATAAACTATAAGCATTCTGATCAGTTTTTAACAAAAATATCAATTTTATAAACAATCGAATTTCAATATTTTTCTTTGAAAAAAATATGTTCGTGAGCTCCATAGCTGAGAATAAATTTCAAAAGTTTGTGAATTAAAATTCACAAATTTGATATTTTTGTTAAATAACTGATCAGAATGCTTATAGTTTATTTTGTTACATGGCTAAAACAAACGTCGCTACTATCGTAATAAATGTGAAAATGTTAGCTAATTTATATGTCTTATATAAACAATGCGTATAATTTTTTTTATAGTATTCATCGAAATTACATACAATTAAAATTATGCATTTTCTTTTACTAACCCAGCATATAAAATTCCTATATTTATTAGTATTTATTTCGCGTTAAGTAAATTCAATTCAAACTTCATAAATAACATTCTGAAATGTCGGTCATAATCCGTGTTTACACTAGCTTTGGACTAGATTTTTGTAGTGTAAACGCACTTTGGGCCTGGCCTAGGTTAGGAAATGTGGAACACCTGTTCTGATGGCCCAGATTTCCTGACCTAGGCCAGGTCGAAGTGCGTTTACACTACAAAAATCTACTCCAAAGCCAGCCTAGGCTCGTAGTGTAAACACGGCTATATTAAATTCGAATGTACATTTTTGTGTCGTATTTTGTTATGCCGTCGCCACAGAAAAATAGAACATATTGATAAAAATTCTAGGCCTAGGGGGAATGGAAACACGTGGAATGTTCTATTATACTTATAGTTTTTTAAAATCAATCAACTAAATCAATCAACTGAATCAAGGAAAGAATAATCGGTCTTTCTGAATTCTGGTATATTTTTGAAATATACAAGTTCGTGACATTTATGAATCTGGTCAGACTGAATGAATGTGGCATAACATTCAAAAACAAAGCTCTCTCAGCGTGTCAGGAAAAGAATATTACGACTATATTTACAAAAAGGGTTTTACTAGCTGTGGTAGTTTCTTTCATCTGAGATATGTTAGTCAGAAAGAAATTGTTTACTTTTAGCGCCTCTCAAGAAATATGTTAATTAGCTATAAATTATGCAAAAATCATTGATTATGGGCTCCAGAAAATCTTAACTCGCGCCAAATACAGATTGATACCCGCAGGTTTTTCTTCAGATCTTCTGAAAATAAGTATAAATCATTACAGCCAAGCACATTTCAGCGTAATTTTAGGTCCCCATTTGGAGATCTCAGGCTTCGATTTTAGTGTAATTTTGTAGACCGAACAAGAAGCAAAAACCGGTGTGCCGTCAAGTTGCTGTCGTTTATTCACGATTTATTCAAATGCTCTTATTTTTTGGAACAGGGAACCTGAATTGTATCTTAACTTGTTGATCTAGTTGAAATTTGGAAATAGTCAGGCGTTTTGACTCAGCGCGGCTCTACAATTTACCGAAATTCAACCTTCGATTTTGCTTGAAAATAGCTCTGCACGGGTAAAATGAGTTTCGGCGTCTAGCGAAGCCATAAAAAAGAATTTTCAAAAAATAAATTTTGGACACTTGTATACCAATGCCTTTCAACACACAAAAATAAAGGAAATCTATTTTCCGAAGTCAAAGTCATCGGACCGCTCTTAGCGGGACTGCCA